TTTCAACAATTGWATGTTGAAAACATTTTAATGTAAAATATAAATGAGAAAATAAAAGATGAATATGAAAAATGGTTTTTCATTAAACTTGGTTTCTCAAGATTCCATGAGAAATAGTTTTGTCAACCGAACTCTAAAATAATTGTTAAAAACATATTGTTGGTTCTATTGGAAAAAAAAACTTAAGAAAAATGTAGAAGACAATAGTTAAAGAAAACCTCTAAAATCCTAACAAAATTAAGAAGAATTGCGAAATAAACCTGAAAAAATATACCATTAAAAAGGGCATGTTGAAGTTTGGTGATGCTACATGAAAAATTGTAACAAAAAAACTTCAAAAATCTCAATAAAAGTCAAAAGGAATACATATACACATTAGTTTTCTCAAAGTATACTTGAAAAAGATAACAATTACAAAAATATGTTGAAATTTGTTGAGGCTACATCATGATTTGTAATACTTTCAATATTCTATTATCAGACGATTAATCGAACCATTGTTGCCATGAAAATTCTAAAAGTGTTGTCAAGAACAAACTCTCCGTTTCATTGAGAAAACTTTGGAAAATCATAGAAGAGAAAAGTAAAAAAAACAAAATTCTAAAATCCCAACAAAAATAAAAAGGAACGCATACCTGAATTAGTCTTCTCGAAATAAACTTGAAAATAAATTTGTTGAAAAATAACAATTTATGAAATGAAAAACAAATCAAGTGATGGAGATGGAGAAAAAGAGATTGAATGATGAACAATTTATGAAGAAGAGTTAGGGAAAATGAAAATATTGTGTTAAATTCAAACATAAATGAATAATCAATGTTTATAGAAATTAGAATGTGAGATTAAAAAAAAAATTAAAGAAGGATGAATGAAAAAAAAGATAAATAAGTTTTCAACCTTTAGGAGAAGCACCTTGGTTTCTCCTTTAATATATATATAGATTTTTGGAACATGATGTGTATGTTTATTTTATAATACTAAAAGGATACTCGTGCAACACAACGAGATGGATCTCGATTTCAATGTTTCGTTTTATTCTTTGTTTTTATCGATGTTATAATACCGTTTTATGTGGTTTTAAGAATTTGATAATGTTTTTATTTTTAAATAAAATATAAATTTGAAGATAGCATTTCTTTTTAAAAATAGATAAAAGTTATAGTTTTTTTAATGTAATTTTTTTAATTCAATTTTTTATAATTTAATTTAGGTTTAACAACAGAGTAATTTATTTTTGATTTAATAATATATTTTTTATAAAGATAATAATTACGTATTCTGATAAAACTCAATGATTATTGTAATTATATTTTAGATTTTTTATATTTAAAATAAAAATATTATCTTGTATTTAATTATGTTTATCTACAGTTAGTACATAAATTAAAATATGGAGATTTAATAAGTTGTACTTATGCACAATTTACTTGTACCATTAAATTTTAAGTAATATGCATCAATAAGCGGTACATCATACGTAAAAAATGGTTTTTATGAGTGTTTGTCAAATGTTTTATAATATAGTATAGATAGTAAAGATAAACGAAACAATATTGAAATATGTGGTAACATTATAACAATATAATACTCTACTTGCCTCAAAATAAGTATTCACAATAGAAATGATACACAGTTTTAGACATTAATAATTACAACACTTTTTGGTTAATCAAATGACAATTATACCCTTAAATAGGGTATCTATCTTATTAATTCTTAAATATATGTGCATTAATCAATGGCACATTTGGAAATTTAGTTATTAATTTTTAAAAAGCGGATACTTATTTTAGGACGAACATAAATAAAAATATAAACACTTACTTTTGAACATGGACGTAATTATTGGTGCAAAAAGTTTGGCATGATTAATATTAATGCAAACACATGGTAATACGATTACATTTAATTATGTCTCGTTCGCTATGCGTCTTATCCGGTTGTTGGTGACGCAATGAAGACAATTAATAACTTGATTCGTCCCAAAGGAATAGAAACTTTTCTGATCTATCAAAGCATTAATGTCGAGAACACACAACATTACTGCTATAGTCATGATACTTTGTTTTTTAGTGGTGTGTTTGATATGCAGAACCATACAAAAACTTGTTTCCTGTTTGGCTTGACATAGAGATCTAAGCAGGGCAAAAATGCATTTTTTGGCCTGCCAAAATGTGAAACAAGAATGAGGGAAACTTGACAAGATTAATAAATTACTAAACTACTCATATCAAAGTAAACCAGAAAACATAAAAGGAATTCCTTTCACCCGCCTACATAACTCTCGTCAGTCCAATTCCAACACATGCAATGGAATGATGAAATCTATAGATGATGGAATATATGAAATTCAATTCCATCACACATACAATGGAAATGATGAAATATGTGAATGATGGAATATATGGAATTCAATTCCATTCCATATGCAATTCAAAAGCCATAATGGAATTTGGTTATAGGAAATTGGTCATTCCAATTCTTCCAGATTCCATAGAGATCCTGCAAACCAAGTTCCTAATTTCCAACAATTTGGCCATTCCAATTCCTTCATATTCCATAGGTGCTAACCAAATGGAGCCTTAGTTCCTAATTATTATACTTTTTATTAACTAAATGACAAATTTACCCTCGATAATAGATCAAGTAGTGAATTTCTCCATTTCATAAATTAAGGGTAGAACTGAAAAACGGACGCTTACTTTTGAAAGTGGACACTTATTTTTTGGGACAAACTAAAATAGAAACATGGACATTTATTTTCCTGAATGACTTATCCGTGCTGAACTGCTTTATCGTACCCTAAAACAAGAAATATCCACAATACTAAGGAGTAGTTTACCAAACTCTTACAAGGTGAGCATGACAAAGATCAATAATCTTTGCCCGGTAAGAGGCATAAGGACCAAAAATCATACCCGGTAAGTAAGGGAGAAAGACTCTGTAACACCCCAATTCCACACATTGCATGTAACACATATTTCATTCATACATTAGAAATACATGTTTATACACCACATAAGTCCCTTAATACAAGAATCTACCAATACATAATATACGGTTCAAAATTTTAAAATACAATTCTTGTACTATTCCACGTTCATCTAACAAAACTATACATATCATTGACAAATCTTCATGCAGATATATATAAAGGAAAATATTACATTTTCCCCTTCCCCTTACCGTCTGCACCTCCTGCAACACATATTTAAAATCACAAAACGAAGGTTAGACCGAAAGGTCTAGTGAGTTCCCTTTTTATGTTATTGCAGGGTGAGAATCACCAAAACTTTATTTAAAACCACTTTTCATATATGTATAACAAATATATGAACAAGTAAGAACATATTACCAGAATCTTTCCATTATTCAAGCCAAACTCTTTGCTTTCAAATAATACATCAAAACCCAAATAGGTTTGTACTAACTAGGTTTATCATGATTTTCAATTAAACAAGGTTTATTCAAAGTTTCAGGCCAAACCTGTTATCCCCTTCTCAATAACATCCCAACTACGATTTCCAATAAGAACTCTGATTCTAAATCTTTAAATCACAAAGAAATAAAGATCCCAAATCACAGTAATCTTAAAGGATATAATAGTAATAATTATATTACATATCACACATACATATGCCACCCTTATCCCATGGTATACCTCTCTTTGATATGTCACCCCTATCCCATGGTACACCTCTTCTTGATATGTCACCCTTATTTCCTCATCAAAACTTTTTACAAAATAATTCCAATTAGAACAAACCGCAGTCATAAATGTCCTAAATGGAATGTCATCAGTTCAAAATCATTTTTATCAAAATTTCCCATTCTTTATAGAGAATACTAAATTGATGGTTTTTATGAACCATACACAAGTCAACACTCACATCCAGTCAACATAGACTTGACCGGACTTCATCTCCGGTCAAGCCTTGGCCAATTAAACTAATCCGGACAACTCATCCTTTGTCCGATTTACAAATCCGGACAACATTCTCAAAGCTTTGTCCGATTTACAAATCCGTACAACGTTCTCAGCTATGTCCGATTTACAAATCCGGACAACATTCTCAAAGCTTTGTCTGATTTATATCTAAATCGGACAACTTATCATTCGATTAACAAATATACCGGGCAACCCTTGTTCGATTTAGTATCTAAACCGGATAGCCCTTGATCGTATTCCTACTTCTCCGTTCAAAACATTTAACCGATTTTCAAAGATAGAATTTCCCCAACCTAATAGTCCGATCAACACTATGTTCGGTTTACTCTAAATCGGATGACACTGTGTCCGATTTATATCCAATCCGGTCAACCCTTTGTACGATTTATTCTAATCCGGATAAACAGTTATCCGATTTAAACTTAAACCGGGTGAAAAGTTATACAAACAATTATGCAATTCAAAGAGATTTAAAACATTTAAACCACTCACCTTTGAAATACTTTTGAGAAACAAGATTGAACCCAACTTGAATCTACCTCTTGATCCCAATCAAAATTAATCCGGACAACCTTCTCTCAATTCTCCCTCAGGTTTTCAAAATGGCAAGAAGTTTAATTGTGAGTTACAACCTACATTTATACCCCTTCCAAAAGTGGAAGCCGGCTATACCCGGCTCATGCACACATGCATACATACCCATGCATTTTTCATACCTTGCACATACATGCATGTTATATATATATATATATATATATATATATATATATATATATAGATATATATATATATATATATATATATATAACATGTATGCATATAATAACCAGGCATACTAATATATTTTTAGATATGCCTACTCACTTTTCGCATACATATTTATGCATAAATTTCACATACTAGCATGATCAAATATACCAATTTATAATGCTAACACGTAATCATATAACAAATAATCACGTATTAATTACCTCAGGTGATAACCAAGATCCGGTTATCACAGACTCTTACTGCAATCCGTTTTAATGGTCGAGAATGTTACTTGATGACTCTTGCCGGTAAGCACTTACCCGGTTTGCGTTTAGTAAACGGCCCCCAACTTACAAATAGAAGTGTAGATAAGACAAGTTAGCTCGTGAGCCGGTTGTCAAAAAGGTCGGTGAGCACAAGCGAAACCAAGTGGGCTCATTTGACTATCTGAGCCAAGCTCGAATCTAGTATTGCTTGGGTTCAACTTCCTTGAACTGTTTGATCATGTACAAAACCTTCTCTCTTAAGAGAGTTTGCAAACCTTTAAAATTCGGTGGATGTTGCATATACACTTCTTCGAAATCACTAATAAGAAATGTATTCTACATCTAAGTGTTAAGCAAGTTTACCATCTCCCATGTGTTGTTCTTCTCCAAGATCTTCGTTTCCTCCAAAATCGCTTTCTTCCATGGCGATCCTATAAAGCAATTTGTTCAACTTATCGGAAAAAAGAAAAGAGAGACTTAAACCAGGGTGTTTTCTAGAATCAACTCACAAAAATGGTTGAAGCTATAGAAACAAAGCACCAGAGGTCAGTAATATATCAATGTTCTAAAAGAAATTTGCAGATGCAGTTTTAAAACAGCATATCGGTCCACAACATGTTGAAAAACTTGTGTCGAAATCAGGCATATCATATATTTCAGAAAGAATGAAATGGAGTAACAAAGATGAGACATAGCCCTGTTAGCATGGTAGCAGCCGTTCAATAAAATTTGGGACAACGGTTTTGCTAAGCGACCCCTATCTCTGCATTTTCTTTGTATAGTTCGGAGAGATCATTCCCCGTTCCACAAATCGTAGCATAAGCTTCTCTGCATCAAGTGACATTTGATTTGCAACCAATCTTTTGCTCACTTTCTCGCATAGTTTCAAGTCAGGAACCAGATTACGACTAAACATTCTACACGCCACTTTATATGAAGAAAGGGGATCGCCCTTCTTCAAATAACTTTCAATAAGTATATGACAACTATTGGCATCAGTTCTTGAAGCTGTCCTCAAAACTTTACCCAAGAGTTTATAGGCATCATCAAGATTCCCCAATGAACAAAGTTTTTCAATGACTTGATTGTAAGCAGTCTTCCATGGCTGCCTTGAAAGCATCTTCTCTAATAAAGACAACAATTCTTGTACTCTACCATGCTGACAGAATCGGTGTATAACAACCCTGTATGTAACTGGGGTCGGGATTAAACTTTTGTGGAGCATTTTCTTGGTCATTTCAACCGCTTCTTCAATGGATCCCTTCTTTCCTAATGTATCGATTATTGTCGTGTATGTAACTGCATCAGGTTGTATGTTATTTAGGTACATATCATCAAGAACCGAAAAGGCAGAGTCGAAATCTTCCTTTTGGCAAAAACCATGTATGACACTGGTGAAATTTACCACATTAACAGTGCATCCTTTATTAAGACATTCTTCCATCAACTTCTTGGCATCTTCCGGTCTTCCTTCTTGACAGAAAGATTGGATCAACGGGTTAATTTCAGCCGGTGGTGGCAAAAATCCTTTCCCAATCATATCTTTAACAACATCATGGGCCTCGGAAAGCTTTCCTTCCCTCCTAAAACCATGCATCAAAACGCTATATGTAATAGAATTTGGAACCCACCATTCCTCTTCGCTCAGATTCAACATCTCTTTTGCCTCTGATGATTTCCCATCATGGCAGAGGCCGTTCAACAAGACTGTATATGAAACAGTGTTTGGCTTGCAACCGAGCTTCAACATTTCTTGAAGCAACTGTTTACCTTCATCCACTTTTCCCATTTTACATAAACCATTTATAACATCGGTGTAAGTGACTATATCCGGTTTACAACCCTTAGTGTACATCTCATTAACAAGTTCTTTCGCTTTCTCTATGTTCCCCACTTGACAAAAAGAATGGATAATCGCACTATACTCGACCTTATCAAAAGAAAACCCTTTTTCTTCGGCTTCCCTCAGAAAACAAATCGCCTCAACTCCATAACCATACTTAGAAAGCATATGAATTAGCATATTATAAGTAACCTGATCAGGGATTAACTTGCTTTCATTCAACATTTTCTTCATCAAAATCCTAATATCTTTGATCCTATTCGTTTTACAGTAAAAACCCATCACCGTATGGTAACATACCTTATCGGGCGCACACCCTTTTGCCACCATATCTCTGATCAAATCCATTGCGTCTTCAATACGATCAGCATCACAGTAACCTTTGATCAAGCAATTGTAAGTCACAACATTAGGTGCAATGTCCACCAATTCCATCCTTTCTAATATCTTCAATGCCATTTCCAATTTACTAGCTTTCACCAAAACATAAACTGCAATGTTATATATAACCAAATTAGGCTCGATCTTAGCCTTCTCCATCATCGAGAAAACCTGCAACGATTTCCTCCAATGGCCAGCCCGGCTGTATGCCATCATCAAGTAACCAAAAACTTCTGCACGAAGCCGGATTCTTCTACGAGCCATAAGGCGAATAACTCGTTTAGCACCTTGATACAAACTAGTTCTTCCAAGAATCTCGAGCATTGCGTTATAAACAATGGGGTGATGCTGGTAGCGCCATTGCCGGTCCGCCCAGTAAAACAATTGCAACGCAACCCGTGCATCCTTCTGATCCCGTAGCACAGCACAAACTTGCTGAGTCTTCAAACTTCGAATCAAATGTCTCAATTCCTCTTCGAAATTTGGGGTCCATGTGGATCGTTGATCGATTAATCTACTAACTTCTTTAACCAATGGGTGTTGTGTTTCATCCCCGTTGTTTTCTACCCTTCTGAAACACCCAATTTCTTGACCATTCCCAATGTAATCTCTCGAAAGCTTAAAATCAACTTCATCGCCCAATTCTACAGACGAATCAAAATCCCTACCGCTACCAAAACGATTCAAAACCCTAAATTTATCAGCACCCGATTTCTCATGGCTAAGATAGGCGTTTTGGTTAGGGTTTTGTGAATGAAACGCGTGAAGGAGTGTTCTTCTACATGTAATGGATTCTTGAAATTGACAAGAATGGCGTACGAATTGAAAGAGCATCTGATGAACTCAAAATTTGAATGCTGGAATAGATGTCAAAAATGGATAAAGCTTACATGATTGCACTTTTGAAGTCTCGCTGAAATCGAACTTGTTTCATTTGTTTGCAGTCGAGAATTTTGCAAGTAGTTTTTAGTTTTTACAAAAAGATGACAACTTTTAATTTCTTTTAAACAACTAATAATAGATAATGTTTGTTTCTTTTTCTCTACTGATTGAAATATACTCTATTTCATTCCTTCACAAACATGATTAAATGATGGTGGACAGAAGAAAAGGATAGGACTGAACATGACTGGACGAGACTGGACTGGACATAACAAGTGTATGTCTGATGTTTAGTACGAGTAGGACTGGACGGGACAGAACTAGACAAGTTACCCTCAAAAGTTATTTGATGATTTTAAATATTATATAATAGTTATAATTAACACAAATAAAGTAAATAACTAAATAATTTAATTTATAAATATTTTTACACAATTGTCATATAAATGAATACATACATATATAATTGTACAAAATTTGAATGAAAATTATGATATAATTGATGGTGGTGGTGATGGAGATGGTTTTGGTTATGGTGGAGGTGGTGATGGCCGACGGTAGTAACGACGATGGGCAGTGGTGGTTATGGAGGTAGAGGCAGTGGTGATTGGTGGACGACAGTGGTTATAGAGGACGTGAAGATGGTGGATTGTGATGGATTGTGGTGGTGGTGGTGGTGGTGGAGGTGAGGTGGCAATTGACAGTGATAGTCGGTGGTTGACGGTGGTTGTGGAGGTTGTGGAGGACGTTGAAGTAGAGGAGGGGTTAGAGGTGCCCAATAGTGGTAGTGGTGGTTGGTCACCAATGGTGCTTGTAGAGGTGGTAATGGATAGTGGTGCTTGTAGAGGTGGTAATGGAAAGTGGTGGTCGATGGTCAACGGTGGTTGTGGAGGTCATGGAGGAGGTTGTTGCAATATATGAGGTGTTGGAGGGGGGCTAACGGTGGTAGTGTTGGTGGTAATGTGTGGTGGTGGTCGATGGCAAATGGTGGTTGTAAAGCTAGCAATGGACTAGTCGGTGGTCGACGGTGGTTGTGGAGGTTGTTGTAGTAGAGGAGGAGTTGGAGGTCACGAACAACGATAGTGGTGGTGGTCGATGGTCGACTATGGTAGAGGTGGCGATGAACGATGATGGACGGTGGTTGTGGAGGCGTTGGAGGATGTTGTTGTAATGGAAGAGGAGGGGGAGGGGGAGGTGGAGGTGGAGGTGACCGCCGATGGTGGCCACGGTCGAAATTAGCGGTGATGACCATTAAAACAAATATCATATTAAGGTTATATATCAAACTAGGGTTTATTAGTAATATTTTAATTTTTGTCTCATTCTTATTCCACCTATTTTGGTGGAACAATATAAATTTTCTTTTGTCTCATGCTACCCCACATTGTTCTAGTTCTTGTCTATGTCCCATGTCACGCCAAACATGGGACAATGAATTCATATTCTGTTTCATGCTGCGCCAACGTGGGACAGTGAGTTTTGTCTCGTCCCATCATGTCCCGTCCCATGTATCAAATGCAACCCTAATGTCTTAGGTTCACAATGAAATTTTCATACACGAAATAAGACATTGATTTCACAATTTTTATCAAATTTATGGGAAATGTGGCGCTCTAGGCATTGTCCTCCGGTCCACAACATAAAACTGGTTTGCAACTGAACCTGCCTTAATAGTATAATATTACAATTGATGTTATTTATATGGTAATACTGTAAATAATACTATAGAGATATCTAGGTATGTTAAAATGGTACTCGTACAATGCAGCGAGATACATCTCGATTTTAATATTTTGTCTTATTCTTTATCTTTGTCGATATAATACGGTTTTATGTGGTTTTGAGAAACTGATAATTTTTTTATTTTTCAATAAAATACAAATTTAAAGATTTCATAAAAAATATTGAAAAAAATATATCGATATTAATATCAAATAAATTATTTAAAAGTTCTCCTTTTTTGTAATTTCTTTAATTCAATTTTTTTATTATAACTTAATTTAGGTTTAATAACAAAGTAATTTATTTTTTATTTAATAATATAATATTTTTATAATGATAATAATTAAGTATTCTGTTAGAACTCAGTGATTGACTTAATTATATTTTAGATTTTTTATATTTAAAAATGAGATGTTTATCTTGTATTTGATTATATTTATCTACAGTTAGTTATATGAATTCAAAATTGAGCTTTATTAAATCGTACTTACGTATAATTTACTTGTAATCTTGAATTTAAGTAATATGCATAACTAAATAGTACTTGATGCATTAAAAATGGTTTTAAAGATTTCAACTCAAATATTTTATAACATAGGGTTGGGTTCACGTGAGACCAAATGTTTTTGTGAGACCCCTGAGACCAATTTATGTTCATTGATTAACTTTATAAGTTAATGATCTAATGATCTAAAGTTGCACGGTGACAATTTTGTGATTATTGAGAAGTCTCGTGGTAATTTTGTGATTATGAATGTTTAAATTGTAGATCTAATCCAAATGTTGAGAATTGGTCTTACGGGTCTCACGAAAAACCCTTGTTCTCATATGATCTCAAGTCTTATAACATAATATATATATATATATATATATATATATATATATATATATATATATATACTAGNATATATATATATATATATATATATATATATATATATATATATATATACTAGTTGTGTACCCGCGCAATACGGCGCGAGCTGTGAATTTTAACGATTTTAAAGTTTCACTGGTTTTATTAGAGAATATTTTACGATGATATAAGTTACACTTGATTTAGGCAAGTAGTTATCGACAGTTTTTTATACTTACTGTTTAGGTTTTGAAGCTTCTGACCACTGCACCTCGTAAAAGGGCACGACCCCCTTGACTCCGACATTCAGTGATCCCGGGTGCTAATTAACTTATACAAAAGTGCTCTTCGCCGCTCTTAGTTCATATCACAACTTAACTATAACCCCTTTAGTCTTGTGTAAATCTTGACCAAACGSCCAATGATTACTAAATTAAACAATGGTCTCATGTTAGACATAGTGAATGTAGAGAATATTTGAACTTCAACTAAAAAAGAAACCGGATATTTTTCGATTACATAATAACGATAAMYGAGTGTTTAGAAGMTCAGATCTCCTAAACCCATCAATTGGCACAAACCATTGAACGGTTGGCTTTGCATTATTGCATACATGTTGTGCCGATACGATCAGCGATCTCATCCCACGAGTGACTATCGATTTCGATTCCACTCTGCAAGCTCTTCCCATGAGTAACTATCTATTCCGACTTGTGGACTCGCATGAGAATSTCCGTAACAGTAGATATTTGCTTMTGTGGCGGYAGTGGCAGCRGAGGTAGCCGGATGAGAGTAGACTCTGAAGTTGGGAGTTTGGCCAGTAAGATGTTGAAAATTTTCTTTAAACTGAGAAGCATCTGTAAAATAATAGCCTCGGTCATGGCCACTATATACCACAAATGTTGAGATATACCTTAGAAGCAGTGTAAGCATCCATTCCTCAGGTCATAACAGCAGCAGAAACCACCATATCAACAGATGAATAGCAAATAAGCCAATACATTCAAAGTTTGGCAAAGACTCCACATGACCAAAGGAGTAGAGGTCTGATCTGTTTAGGCAATTACACAAGTCAGTCTAAACCAGAACAAGAAAGAAACAGTGAACCATTTTTCAAAACACAACCCGACTATACACCAAGACAGCTGCACAAGATTGTAAAGGATATATTGGCCAATATTGAGACTTATATTAATACCACAACACCACAACATATTGGCCAAACTGTGCAATATTTATTCCATCACCTCAAATCATTCACAGTCCCAATCACCTCAAATCATTCCCAATACACTGCCATAAAATATATATGATATGTGATGAAAAAAATGGTAATATTTAACAAAGAAACAATTGAAACATTTTTGAGGTGATATGTTGTTTTTTTGTTATTTGAGTTTGCAAACCCTGCGAAGTCTTTAAGACCAAACATGTGTCATGGTCAACAAACCAAAATAATAGATAAGCAAATGCAAGTCACCAACTCAAAAAATCTGTACATTATGCTTACAGTATAAAAGTATGCAAATAATTTCAGTCTAAGACAACCATCCATATTTGTGGTGAAATCAATCATAAAAAGGGTAAACTTGAAATTGATTATTACACAAACAATTAATTCCAAACACGCTTGATAGTGTTAATCCAAATTTTCGTTTTGAATAATCACATTGATTAGTCAACAGCCGGGTTTTTTAGATAGTTTTTCATATTCAATAATTATTGATATTGTAATAATCATTTATATAGAAAACTAAAACTAAGAAGCAATTGATACAAAAAAGGCAAATTTAGAAAAATGGAACTAACCGATTTCAGTAGCAATCAATAGAAAAACCAATTCCATCCAAATCACAAAGAGAGCCCGTCTTCAGTGTGGGAAGGAGCAGGACTGAAAAATGTGTTGGGTCTGTGAAGAAACAATTAGCAGGGTAATTGAATAATAACAATGAAAGGGGATAAGTAACAGGAAAATAAAATGTTCCAAGATTTCCAAATCTAAGAACAAATACAAAATTGATGCATAAAAATTAAATCAATATAGAAAAGTGGCATAAAATCAATAATGACCATCTTCATCAATGTGTAAGATATGCTACACACATGACACAGGAATGAAGCTGTGCATATATACCACAAGCTAGGAGTCCATAAGACTACTTTATAGGCACACCAGCATGTTGGCAGAGACCATAAATCTTACCTGGTAAGGGCAAAGGCAAGGATCGGGAGTCTTACCCGGTAAGTGTGACAACGAATCTTACCATGATTAACACTTATCGGGTAAATTGTTGCATACGATACTGTTTTGATGGACTAAAATCACACCCGGTAAGTAAGTGATAGAGTTGATTTTGTCGGTAAACACTTACTT